ATGAATGTTACTTATTCATGTTAACAGGCTTATTCATCTTACATGAAGGGAAATGTCAGTTTTGAGCTGCAGAACTGGAAAGAGGCATTAGAATTATTTGGCCAAGCCAGGTAAGCTGTCCTAAATACCATCCTAGATATTCAAGTAATGTCATGTATTTACTAGCTGTTTTGTAGATCAGATGCAAGCCACAACTCGCATGTACAATACAGTTGCCCACACGCTATATTCATCTCCATATTCATAGAAACTGTTAGACTCATCAGAAATATGTGTATGTCACTTGCGTGCTTACTCAATGAATTTTTCACATCAACAATTTGTGTACATGTATATTGAACGATTCAAGAAAATATCCATACCCAACCACGGATGGCTCCAGTATTTTAATCCCCCCTTGCCTTTTTTTAATTCCAAAATGCTCTGCTCCCCTCGCCTTCTGAATTCTGAAGTTGTTAATTCCCCCTCCCTCTTGGATTTTCATTGTTTAGTTCAACCTTCTGGAGTTCCTTGTTTGACTCCCTAGTGTTGACTTCCCACAAAAGAGATTTTATGCTTTACAGCTTCATAGAAGTTTTTTTCAATCAAATAACTGTCTACAGGGCTCAGAATTGTGATCTAGTTTATTTTCTGGAATTGCCCTTTATAAACACTGTACGGGCACACTGTCTGTATTCTATGTAGGGATAGTGTACAATGTACCTCTACCTTGGCACTGGAATTTTAAGGGTAAACTGTCTCTAATTTTTTTTACATTTGACGTGGTGTAGGACTATCTATGAAAAACTAGCTGGTGCATTTTCTGAAGAGCAGCGCAGCATGTATCTTCAGCGAGTTGAAGAGATCACTCCTAACATCAGATACTGTGCGTACAATCTTGAAGAGGGAACCACAGATATCAATGATCTAATGCAGCTGAGGTGGAGTGCAGCTGCTGCTGGTGGTACTCATGATCCTGTGCTAACAGCCAAGATTGATGTAAGTTCATGCTTGTAAGCCCCATGGCTTCTTGAATTTTATAAGGTGTTTTGAATTTGGCTTTAGCCAGGAAGGGGTTGTATTATAAAACAGTTGATTTAGGCACCATTTAAATGTTAACTATTATTTTTTGCGGCATTTGGTGGAATTCAAAGTGATTGGTTTGGCATAAATAATCATTTTGCAATAAACATCCACAGTATATTATGTATTTATTGACTGAGTGGGAGGGCCGGATGGGAAAATATTTGGCTTGAGGTCAGTACATATGGACCGAGCGCAGCGAGGTCCGTGCGTCCTGACCAAGAAACAAATATTTTCCCATCCGGCCCGACCTTACTCAGTCAAGAAGCATTTTATCATATGACCACTTAATGGTTGAAAATTTTGAAAATTCTGTTTGAACCTAAATAGGACACGATTACATAAGATCAGATGGGCGCGTGCGGAACAACTACAGAAAAGATTCTACAATACAAACTTGTCATTTATTTCTTTGCGTCGAACAAGAAACTCACAATTCATCAAAAAACAAGACTTATTTTCTCATACTTGTTTTTCAATGTAAGTCCACAATTACAATTCATGCTAAAAAGCCAACAGAAAGTTTACATAAAGTTGTCAAAAATATGTCAAAACCATGGAAAACTTAGCGAGTAACAAAGTTCGCTTCATGCTTCACTGAAATTGTTCACAAATCTTCTTCATCTAATGACTCATGTCGGCGTCGTTTCAAGCTATTTGTCAACCTCTTGGATTCTCTTGAACAAGGGAGAACCAGCAACTGAATATTAATGACACCGATGTTGGCTCTCGCAAACAGTGCTCGGGTTTACTGACTTTGCTGGCTTTATTATTTGGATGAACTTGTGTTCGTACTTCACCATCTTTATTAATTTATCACTTCTCACGATGACTTCGATAGCATTGATCCTAGCAGTATGCAGGACACCTGTCATATATGAACTCAGTTANGCTAGTGTCATGTTGATTAATTCACCTTCACATTTCATTACCGAGCTTAAAATTCACCATCTTTATTAACTTATCACTACTCACGATGACTTCGATAGTATTGATCCTAGCAGTATGCAGGACACCTGTCATATATGAACTCAGTTAAATGACCTTGCTCTCCATGAGTTCTCGTAGCTCAGTGGATAGATAGCGCCCGCCCGGTGTTTGGGAGGTCATGGGTTCTTTGTCCCATGCTCGCGTCATGTTGATTAATTCACCTTCACATCGCAGATTTTGGTCGTAAATATGGTAAGGGTTTTTTGCTAAGCGGGCCGCACACCCCCACTCAATTTTTCTGGGAGTACCCCCTCCCCGGATCATGAACCTGGAAAAAGTGAGAATGTTGGCTCCGCAGGTAAACGGCATTCAGGTAGCGGCTCTCGCAAGTTCTCGATACCGCAGGCTTTAAGAGAACGATAGGACAGAAAACAGAAAAAAAAGCCCCTTTGAAAATTCAGTTGCTGCTTTTCCTTCTTTCTTTTTAACCGATTTTTTAGGTCTGTTTGAACCGTTTTTAAAAATTATTATGTGCAGAGACCGCTCTAGCTGTATTATTTCGTTATATAGTTGTGCTAAAGACCAAAACCCTGGGATGGACACACGCGGAAAAAACTGGAATATTTTATTTTTATTTGACAACATTACTCTCTAGTTTAGTGGCTTAAACCATCACTATACTAGGAAAGAACACTTAAGTCACAAAAACACACATGAATTATTACTGTTGAGTTTTTTAGTGGTTTGGACAAACGTTTCAGTAATCCTGAAGTTTTTGTCATCCTCCCGTCTTTAGCGAAGTGTTCTTTGAGGTGTTCATCTACATGTTAACGTCAGCAAAAAATCTTGAGTTATCACGCCAACTATAAGATTTAAAAAATAAATAGCAGATACTCTAAAAAACAATGTTCTAGTCAATGTTTTTCAAGCACGCTGACCTGGCCGGATCTGAGCACTATTACTGAAGTCGTCATTTACTCGGAGACGGTATTAGTTTGTTGTAGACTGGCTATCTTCNGGAGGTCATGGGTTCGATTCCTGTTGGGGACTCAGAATTTTTCTTTGTCCCACGCTCATGTTATGTTGATTAATTTACCTTCACATTTCATTACCGAGCTTAAAATTCACCATCTTTATTAATTTATCTGTACATAAGGTATGTTTGTGATTTCTCTGGTTTAACCAACCTCTCTCAGAAACTCTGGAAACTCAAAGAACTTAAGCTTATATCATGCTTTGTTTTCTTCGCGTTGCTGGTTTTCGTGCTTTTGACCCACAATGAAGTTTTTGGTGCTTTCCACTGACAGAAGTTTTGCCTTAAGACTGTTTGCTTATTCCAAAGGTCAATTATCAGACAGTTCATCTAGTAAAGTTGTTTTCTTGACTGCCTGCTTGCTTGTTTGTTTTTGAGAAAGCTGTGAACTTTTTTATTTGTGAGGAGTGTTGACTTTCTTTCTGTGCTTTTGGAGTGAGTTGGTGACTGAGGTAGTTCTGCATTGGACAGTTCAGATAGTAAAATTTGCTCTCGGAATATTCACTTTCATCACTCATTTTGAACAGAACAAAATTTTGCTGCAAAAAGTTGTTTTTGTCATTAACTCACATCGATTTTGCTGTACGCGTTTCCAGTAGGGCAGTACGCATTTCTTGTAGGGACGTGTACGTTTTTCCGGCCCTATGACTTCAATGTGTACAGCCCTCATACAGGACCTGTTTTCTTATGGTTTTCCACGGAAATTGCATGCAGGGCCGTACGGGTCATATGATAATATACTTTTACTTGAATGGCACAACATCTGCAGCTTTTGTTAGGGATTTAGTTACCATCAGTAATAGCAGGTGGTCCATAATAATGAGTGTTTGTAAGTAAGGGTTGACTTCATAGCAATGAGCTCCAAAAACATTTGACATTTCTATGATAAGCTTTTAATATTGAAGTATTCTTAGATATTTTAATTAAGTAGTAGGTCAACTGAGTGATTTCCACTTGGGTTGTATCTTTGAAAAGCTACTTTAATGATTCCAAAATATGCACCCCTTCTGTCTGGAGCCCTATGTTTGTTCCTTGTGTAAGAAAACAAACTAGATCTTGTGTGCTGGAAAACAATCCTCTCAAGCTTAAATTCTTTGGTTGTCTTTTTCAGGAGATCATTTCCCAAACTCGTGATAAGGAAGCTGCAGCTATGACAGAAGTGAGCTGGCGTGGCCACACTGTGCCAGTTAAGAATGAGAAAGTGCGCTCATTCATACTGCATGCCCAACAAAGTGCAAGAGAGTTAGAGAGAGCGGACACATTGGACAGCAAGCTGACTTTGTATGATAATTTACTAATGGAGTGTAAGGATGCTCTGCAAGCAATCAAGGATGAGTTAAAGGGAGACACTGTGAGTTCTGACTGCTAAGTTTGTATCATTTTTTTGACATTAAATGCTGTGTCTGTAAGTTATCCTTGTCTTAATTTTTGAGTTACATTTCAATTACATGTAATTGGGAAGTGGTGGCAGGGAGGCATGCTACAAAAGTTCTCACTATCCACATGAAGCATAATTATTATTGACTAGGAATGTTACGTCTACATGTACCTGTACATGTACATGAGTTCTGGCTACAAAACCAGGTTTATTTAGCTATTTACTGGTTATCCCCTCGGAAAATGTTTTGAAGTAGGCATCTGCAGCTGGCAGAATAGGTGCTTGTGACAAGTTAGGTCTGGGGTCATGCCCCCTTCCCCCCAGGAAATTTTGAAATCTACAATGCCATTAGGAAGTGCCAGCATCAAGCAATAAAATCATCACATTGGTTAAAGGTTTCAAATTTCACATTACACCTTGTTTTGTTGGTATGCAAGTTTTCTATCTCTTTAAAACTAAAAATACTTCTAAATTCAAAGTTGTTCTTGCCATTTCACTCTTATTCTTTATTTGTTACAATTAATTTTATTATTAATTATTGAAATTATTATTCCAAAAGCAACTTGGATAGCTTCATTCAAAATCCCTGTTTTAAAG